GCAGGAGGGAAACACTAAAGAGATGACAATGGCCAAGAGGGAACAATAGAGTGAGTTAGTGATGCAGAGATGTATTCTCTCTACAGCTCCCAGAGATGTTGTCTAAGACAGGCATGGCGGCTCATGACTACAATCTCACCTCCTGGGTGGCTGAAGCAGGACAACTGCCAGGAGCTGGAGGCCACGTGAATAGGATTGCTTCATGTTTGAAGCCAGTCTGAGTCATATATCAAGACCCTATCTCAGAAAATAAACAGCTTGGTGTTGTCGTCTTTAATTTTGCCACTCAAAGACAGAGGTGGATGGATCTTTATGAGTTCAAGACCAGCCTGGTTTACATGAGACCATATTTATTTGGAAGGAGAGGAGGAGGGGGAGGAGGAGGAAGAGGAAAAAACCCTAGGTACCAGGATTACAAGTGTGTACCACCACCTCCGTAGTGAATCCTTTCTTATGAGCTCTTAATTTGTCCTGGTCTTTTTCTCATTACGTTTATTGTATAGCAGGAACAACTATAAATTTTTAAAAGCAAACTCAGCAAAATCTGGATCCCATGGCTCCACCAGCTTTTCATGGTCTTAGCTTCTGCATTCAATTCATGGGAGAGATTTCCAGCAAACAGCAAGTGACACTAGGTGGCTCTTAGTGTAGCATTTTGTCTAGGCCCCGCCCCGTGGCTGCTTGCCTTCTTGCTCTTGCTCTCCTGCCCTTGCCCTTCCCCTCTCCACGTGCTCCCTCTCCCCCATGCCCCTCCCCGTCCCTCTCCACGTGCTCTTGGCCAGCCTCTACTCCTCTACTCTCTGCCTTTCTCTGTCTCTCCTACCCTCTCGCCTCTCCTCCCCATGCCCTGAATGTGTGGTTGGTCCTTCAGGGGGAAGGGATGCCTCAGCGTGGGCCTGAAAAGGCACCCTTTCCCCCACACCTTACTGCACCTCCACCAAACATATTCCTTCTCTCCTTATGTTTTTATAAAAAGCAACACTTTGTACCTCGCCAGAAAGTCTCTCGTTTCTCTGAACTGGAGCTGAACTTGGGTAATTCCACAAGCAGCCGCAGAGAACAAGGGTAAAACCCAGTCACAGTGTCAGGTCAGTCTTCACTTCCTGGGTGTGCTGCAGGCGGACCCTCCAGCAACCTCCTCCTCTTACTTTCGAGGAGATCAGATATCTCTGCCCCAGGCCTCGGCTGTCCTCCCAGGAATTCTCTATTTGAGTCTAACAGGACATTCCTATAATGACCCTTAAATTCTGAACCATCTCAGGGTCAGGCTGCACACCCTTAATCTAAGCACTTGGGAGGCAGAGGCAAGTGATCTCTGAATTTGAGACCAGCTTGGTCTACATAAGAATTCCAGAACAGCCGGGCAGTAGTGGTGCACGCCTTTAATGCCAGCACTTGGGAGGCAGAGGCAGGTGGATTTCTGAGTTTGAGGCCAGCCTGGTCTACAGAGTGAGTTCCAGGACAGCCAGGACTACACAGAGAAACCCTGTCTCGAAAGACCAAACCAAACCAACCAACCAAACAAACAAACAAACAAACAAAAAACACCAAATTTTGGGGCAAGATGTCTTGACAGAATATGTTAGATCCACAAGGGAAGAACCCCCGGGACCAAGGTAGGGAAAATCAATTGGATCATAAAATCTAGAGAGTGAATTTTTTCTCCAAAGATATGGGTAAAATGTGGGGTAGGGTGGCTGGGGTCCTCATTTCATTTGTCCTCAACTGTTTTTGTTTTAAAGAATTTTTATTTTATGTATAGGAGTACACTGTAGTTGTCTTCAGACACACCAGAAGAGGGCATCAGATCTCATTACAGATGGTTGTGAACCACCATGTGGTTGCTGAGAATTGAACTCAGGACCTCTGAAAGAGTAGTCAGTGCTCTTAACTGCTGAGCCAT